GCTTGCTCACTACAGACAAAAATCCAGGTCACTTCTAGTTTCATAAATCATACACTCTTAAAAAAGATGGTTCTTTAGTAAAGAGAACGGTTCTTTTCAGAACCATGAGTTCTATATGGAACCATTTGCATGCTTAAATGGATCTTTGCATGGAGGTTCTTCAGATTCATGGAGAATGTTTTTGAAAATTGGTTTTGTTACAATGGCAAGCTTATGACCATAAAAGAACCATTTTTGGCACTAAATAGAACCATTTCCAAAAAGGTTCTGTATAAAACTATATACTATACATTCTCCGTCAATCTGACGAACCATTTCACCATGCAAAGAACTATTTAAGCATGCAAATAGTTCTATATAAACCTCATGATTCTGAACAGAATCATTCCCTTTAGTAGGTGCCAAAAAGGGTCCTTTGGAATGATGTTGTAGAAGGACTTTAATGGACATTTCCTCAAATAACATTGTTTGCACCCTGTAAAAAAAGTTTGGTCATTTCAACCTAAAGAACATACTAATGTAGGGAACAAAAAGTTGAACTAGCTTCATTCAACCCATACAAATATATTGAATGAAGCAAAATAAATACAACCCCATTTCCAGAAATGTTGAGACATTATGCAAAATGTAAATAAAAATAAAATGCAATGATGTGCAAATTATTTAAGCACTATATTTAATTGAAAATAGTACGAAGACAACATATCAAATGTCGAAACTGAGAAATTTTATTGTTTTTTGAAAAATATATGCCCATTTAGAATTTGATGCCAACAACACGCTCCAAAAAAGTTGGGACGGTGGCAACAAAAGGCTGGTAAAGTTGTGTAATGCTAAAAAAGCAGCTGGTGGTTGACTGGCAACAGGTCAGTAACATGATATGGGTATAAAAAAGCATCTCAGAGAAGTAAAGATGAGGATGGATTCACCACTCTGTGAAAGACTGCACAATCAAATAGTGCAACAATTCAAGAATGATGTTTCTCAACATAAAACAGCAAAGAACTTCTTCTTTCTATCATCTACGGTACATAATAACATTAAAAGATTCAGAGAATCTGTAGAAATCTCTGTATTCAAGGGATAAGGCCAAAAACCAGTATTTGCTGGCCATGATCTTTGGGTCCTCAGGCAGCACTGCATTAAAAACAGACATGATTCTGTGGTGGAAATCATTGCATGGGCTCAGAACCACTTCTAAAAACTACTATCTGTGAAAACAGTTCATCGCTGCATCCACAAATGCAAGTTAAAACTCTAAAATGCAAAGAAGAAACCATATATAAACAGGAGCCAGAAATGCTGCCACCTTCTCTGGGCCCAAGCTTATTTAAAATGGACTAAGGGGAAGTGGACAAGTGTCCTGTGGTCCAACAAATCAACATTTGAAATTCTTTTTGGAAATCATGGACACTGTGTCCTCTGGGCTAAAGATCACTCAGCTTGTTATTAGTACACAGTTCAAAAGCCAGCATTCATGATGGTATAGGGGTGCATTAGTGTACATGGCATGGGTAACATGCACATCTGTGAAGGCACCATTAATGCTGAATGATAAATACAGGTTTTGGCAACATCTGCTGCCATCCAGACAACGTCTTTTTCAGGGAAGGCCTTGCTTATTTTAGCAAGACAGTGCCAAACTACATTCTGCATGCATTACAACAGCATTGCTCCATATTAAAAGAGTCCAGATGCTAAATTGACCTGCCTGCAGTCCAGACCTGTCACCACTGAAAACATTTGGCGCATTATGAAATGAAAAATACAACAAAAGAGATGCAGAAATGTTGAGAAGCTGAAATCCTATATCAAACAAGAATGGGAAAACATTTCACTTTCAAAACTACAGCAATTGGCCTCCTCAGTTCCCAAACGCTTACAGAGTGTTGTTAAAAGAAGAGGTGATGAAACATAGTGGTAAACAGGCCCCCGTCCCAACTTTTTTGGAACATGTTGTCGAAATTAAATTCAAAGTAGGCATATATTTTTCAAAAAACAAAACAATTTCTCAGTTTAACATTTGATATGTTGTCTTTGTAGTATGTTCCTTTAAAAATTTGGTTCACATGATTTGCATATCATTGCATCCTATTTTTATTTACATTCTGCACATCATCCCAACTTTTTTGGAAATGGGGTTGTAGGTTAGATGAACAAAAGCAATATTTTTAGCCATTCAGATCTCAACACTTCATAACAACTTCTGCCTTGACCACTTTTTACAGTGTAAATGAGAGACTGAGTGTAAAGAACATTTTAAAAGTTGCATAATAAATGTTCTACACCAATTAAAGTTATTGAAGTTTTGTTGCCAGAACGGTAAATCCAAGGTCATATTGGTGACACATAAATTCAAAGATTTCAATAGTCCAGTGTCTGATAAACAGCACATGAAACGTCTGACTGAATTTAACTGTCAAGAAATGATCTTTTATTGGGTTAACTTGTGGGTTTGGACCCAAATGAATACAGATTAACAAGGCACAGCTTCCAATGAAAAAGCTTAGGCTTGAGTGCCTTGTTCAGTGGGATGGCATGAACTTTGAACATGCAGGTGGCCTACTGCTGTTAAAAATTGACCTCTTAGCTGTAGGCTAAAAGGAACTCGGCACTATATGGCACTGTTAGAAAAAAGTTAGCTAGCTGCAAAAGGAAAGGCACACATGACAGGATTATGAGTATTTTCCTCACAGAACATGGTTTTACTATGTAGTGATGTTATAGGACAAGCCAGCAAGTTGTTCAGTTCATCACTTCAGCCGAAGATGAGGCCACTACCTCACAGTCTCTAAGACAAAGTTGTGCCATTTCATTGTGCATTGCCATGGATTCAACTCATCCATGATGTTCTGACCTTTGTACACAGGTTGTTATTCTAAAAGAATACTGTCTTCCTGCGACTTTTCTCTTAGCTCAATTTCACATAAAACCCTGTCTGGACTGAAAGTCATAAGCAGAACATTGCCACCATAATTCTCTTCGTAAAAGAATTAGAGACCACCTTTTTGCTTAAAATGGCCAGTGAGTACAAGTCATTCATTTTTAGAGTCAGAAAAAACCTGAAAACATACACTATATGGACAAAAGTATTGAGACAACTACACATTACATTTACAAGAGCTTTCATGACATCCCATTCTAAATCCATAGGCATTAATATTCACAGCTATCTGTGGGAATTTTTGTCCATTCATTCAGAAGAACATTTGTGAGGTCAGACACTGATGTGGATGAGAGGGCCTGGCTCGCAAACTCTGTTCTAATCCATCTCAAATGTGTTTGACAGGGTTGAGGTCAGGACCAGTCAAGTTCTTCCACACCAAACTCATCCAACCATGACTTTATGGACCTTGCTTTGTGTACTGGGGCTCAGTCATGCTGGAACAGAAAAGGGTCTTCCCCAAACTGTTCCAACAAAGAAACATACAATTGTCCAAAATGTCTTGGTACATTAAAGCATTAAGATTTCCCTTCACTGGAGCCTAGGCTGAAAAACAACTCCATAGCATTATCCCTTCTCCACCAAACTTGTGCAATGCAGTCAGACAGGTAACGTTCTCCTGGCATTCACCAAACCAAGACTCATCCATCAGACTGCCAGATCCCAGCACATTTTTGTGCTGATGTTACTGCCAGAGGAGGTTTGGAATTCTGCAGCTACTGAGTCAACAGGACGTTGATGACTTTTATGCACTATGTGCCTCAGGTCTCGGCAGGAGTGTCCCAATACTTTAGTCTATAAAGTGTGTATTTGACTGAAAATTACCCAGAAGCCTCCAACACAAAGCATAATTTCAAAACTGTCAGTATTTAACATTCAAACAAGCAACTATCTAAACTCATCTCAGCAGCCTAGCAAATATCTTCTGCATCTGAAATGGCTAAAGGAGTTATTTGTGAGGAGACTAAATACTGTAAGTAAGGTTTTATGGACTGATGACTCTAAATTTGTAATTGAGGTTACTTGGATTTTAAGAAGCAGAAAATGCAACCAACTTCTAAGACTGAAGTTTGGAGGTGTGAAAAAATATCCTTGAAGATTTCTATGAAAATCTATATTGTCTGTATTATAAACATCATTGCACCGGGGCTGAGTCCTCTACAGTGAGAATTCAGTTATTTTGACAGTAGAAGAGCAGGTGCAGGGCAGACTAGTGTTGTGGGAACACAAAGAAACACCACAGCCCCAAGGTAAAAGACAATGGCAAGATAAGAGATAAAATTCAGTGGAACTCTCTCCACTCCACCCCATCCAACACTTACCTGTAAGGCAACACGTGTACTGGAATTCTCAGTGGACTCATAGGATGCCAAGGATCCTGGAACGAAAAATTCTCGCAGAACAAGGCAAGGAAGAAAATATTTGACAGAACAGTGAAGGGAAACAAATGGACAGGGGTTTTCCAGGGTTCAGAGCACTGCAAAAAAAAACAACAAAAAAAAACTGACCTCTCTTCCCTGTTCTGCTCCTGACTACTCACTAACTGAATCCTTGTGACACATCAGTCCACCTATGGAAACATGACAATCACTGACTTTGACACACATTCCTGTGTTTACAAAACATTCTTGTGTCCTTTTTAGCCTCTTGAACCCCAAATGAGCTGAACAATCTAAAGATAAGCCCTGCCCCCACTCCCTGAAAACCTGCATTCAGAAAAATGTTATTTTATTTCTATTTACATGAAAGAACAATATATGCACATGAACAAAATGATGTTTAATAAATGATTAATGGCAGATTCACTAGTTTACAGATATTCTAAAGTAACAGGCATTTAACAGATACTGCAGTGTTTAGTGACAGCAAAGACAAAAATATAAATGATGGTCTAAGGACAGTTCGACAGCCACTGTGAACATCATTTTCCACATTAATAAAATGCATTACATGAACTCAACTTTGTCTTTGAGATTACTTTTGAGTTTATTTTGTTTTTGAATTTGTTTATTTAGTTTAATGCACAATTTATTTAGAGTAATTTTGTAACATTTGGTTCGTTTCACACAATGTAAAGGAGAGATGCACTGCAGAAAAATATTTTTGTTTTGGACAGCAACAATATTGTAGCATCCCGCTACTGGCTCATGCTGCCGTGGGAGTGCTGGAGGTGTGGCCATGCCAAATGCACAGGCTCTCGGGAGGCACAGCGCTCGTGGTATGAGAAACATTTATTGTAAATAAGTTGTTGTTGTAAGCCTAATGCTGGGCTGTGGAGTAGTTAGTGCAGTGTTAGTATCTACCGTCAGGAGAAAACACATGGCTAGAAGTGACCTGCCTGCTATCTCGGCCATTCCAGTTCTTGGTTCTTGGGTCAGTTCAGTTCCCCCTTGCTGTCTGTTCAGTAACAGAGTATTCACCTTTAAAGTGCAATGACTCCTGTGGCTCATTCTATGCTGACGCCACAATGTGTTTTATTTATGTGGAAATGATGTACACAATTAAATCAAGTAAATTCAAAGCACTCCCTTTTTTTGCTAGCATATAAAACATATATTACACATTAGTTACTAATTAATAAATGTTAGATGCTGGATAATAAACCTAAAGTTAATAAGCATAGAGTTTAAGAGACATTAGACATAAGTATCCTAAATGTCTTGCGTAAACAGAGAAGGACTACAAGCATAGGACTCCTTTTGTTCCTCCTCCTCTTCCAGAAGCTTCTCCAAAGCTAGAGTGCCCTCTGAGGCTGGAGGAGGCTCCACCTGCTGGGGTTCTGGTTCCGGCATGGGCGTGGGCACAGGGGGCAGTGACACAGGCAGGAACTGGGGTGTGGCAAGGGGTTGTGGGCAGGGGGGGCGCTGCATGACAGGTCCAGGGAGTGTGGACAAGGGCTGGGCCCATGGAATGTATGTCAGTGAGCTGTCAGGAACATCCACCTGAGGCAGGGCTGAGCTGGAGGGCCCTATGGTCTGAAACAAACACAGGGAAAAAGAGATGGAGGAGATGGAGGTGGAGATAAAGAGCAAACACTTGTCAGGTATTTTAAGTAGTGAGTTCACCTTCAGGTTGTGGCTTACCCCGAGGTTGGTGAACAGAGGTGTGTGCGTCAGAGTCAGCATGGAGGATGGGCCCACCACTGTGTAGCTGGGACACACAGGCTGGACATACATGTCGGTGGTGAGGGAGGGGAGCGTGGGGATGGCTGGGTCGTGGTGGAGATACTCCGTAGGAGCCCAGTGGCTGAGTGGCTGGAAAGCAGCTGAGCTGCTGGGCTGGGTGACCCAGCCTGGGCACAAGGCTCCAACGTCCACTGTCGACTCATTCTGGGCACTCTGGTTGGTCCCCAGGAATCCAGAAGGCCCTTCAGGGGTGAATCATACCATGAGAAATGTGCTACATATACATATAACCTTTGCATAATGTGGAGGTTCTTTGAACTTCAACACACAATTCATTTAAAGAACCATCCACTGAAAGGTTATTTAGTGAACCTCTTTTGTTTTAAATAGTGTTACATTCAAATCCACAACTACTCACCAACATGTGCGTACGATGACAAGGAGTTGTTGGGAACCACCACCTGTTAAGAAGATTTATGTCAATATAATCAAGTAACCTCATGCATGTCTGGTCCATTCTGAATATTCACAAGAAAAACACTTAAAGAACTACACTTTTGGAAAGCTTTCCACAAGGGGTCTCAGGAGACATGCTGGACACAGCTGGACTTTTGATGAGGTTTAGCATGCAAACCAATATTACCCATTTTAGGCAGCTCTACATAATCTTGGTCAAAGAAACCTTAACTAAAGTACCATACATGCACAGTACAGGGTAAAAGTCATAGATCCCTCTTCATTTATATTCATTTATTTATGTGCTTATTATTTCCAGTCAAAACGGCCATTAAATACAAGTTATTCATTTATCAGGAGAAGTTTCTGAGGAGATTAGATGCAAGATAATCCACTTGCTTAAGCAAGGGGCAAGTCAAAGGAGACTGAGTGAAAAATTAACAGTTTCTAAACTGGAATTCAAAAAAGCATTAAAAGACACATCAAAAATGAGACTCCTAACAACTGTGCAAGGCCTGGTAGACCACCAACACTGTCCCCATCCCCATCAGATAAACAGTACCTAAAGCTTTCATCTTTGAGAGAGAGGATACAATCAAGCTCCACTCTTGTTTCGAATCTGAAAAAATCCACAGGTGCTTCTGTCCATCCTTGCACTGTGGATGTGTACACTGGTAGAACTAAAGGTTCTGTGCAGGTAGATTTTAGTTGTTGAGGTTTCTGTGTAATTTTCTGTTAAATATATGTTTTCTGCTTTTTTCCTAATGCTAAAAAATTAATGTTACGTCCATTTTGACTTGAAATCAATGCAGATATAAGGTGTCTGACTTGTGCCCAGTACAGTGCATAAAACTATATTATTACTATACCTTGTGCTTTAGGCCAGCAACCACAGGCAGAGTTTACACTCAACAGATTAGCGATCTTGCCAAGTACAACAGTATCAGTTTATGTTCAAAACAGGTGTTTATTGATTCTTTCCGTTAAAACACTGTGCATTAATGTTGATTTGCTGGAGCTAAAGTGAAACAAGGATCATCTTCCAGTTTTGAGGAAGGTGGAACAGAGCCACCACAAACATCAGCAGGACAAGTGCTCAACAAGCAGCAGTCTGTGTTTGCTACAGTTGTGCCCAGTAGCCCACCATTTAACAGTCATATTGTAATCTTTTCAGCATTGCTGTTAAATTTAGAAGTTAGCTGACCGATTGCACTGTGCAGAACTGCTCTGTGTTTACAGTGTTCTGTATTTTGGTCTTAGCCATAAATAAAAAGATGAATTAAGAAATTAATTCTGTCTTTAAAGGGAAAAGTTCGCTGATTTTTCAAAATGTCTGTATGATTCAATCACTGAGATGTAAACAGTGGTTTGATGTCGAGAAACAGACTGACTCCGATTCCATTACAATGGATCGGAACTTGGAGTTGGGATGTCTTCAATGCAAATATAGCCATTTTATTCATTTTAAACCGACCAGTGAACCTACAAGTGTCCTCTGAGTTTTATATGTAATGTTGATGATGGTTAAAAAAAACTTCCTTAGGGATTATTTTGCCTACATGCTTTAAAAAATACTGCCACAAAATGTTCCCTCAGCAACTCCCTAGAAAAAACACTTAAAAAATCTTTACATAATAAATCACACGAGTGGTCACCAACCCTGTTCCTGGAGATCTGGAACCTCACCTTATCCACCTAATCATTGCCTTCAGAAGTCCTTGACTAGCTGAATGAGGTGTATAGAAGGTGGACTGGAAGTGAAAACTGCAGGAAGGTAGATATCCAGGAGGGTTGGTGACCACTATACAAACTTAAGGAGTCCTTCCTTTACATTATGTGAAGGTTCTTCACACTTGGTTGTCTAAAGAACCATCAACTGAAAGGTTCTTCAAGGAACCAAACTTGTTCCTCTATGACATTGCACAAAGAACCCTCTGGTACCTTTATTTTGAGCCTGCAACACCTTGTGTGTACCTCTCCACCATGGCTGGATTTTAAAAATTACATTTTAGGCCATGGACAGATCAAGGGGAGGGGCCATAGGGCCCCAGTAAGAAAACTGATTGGCCTCTTAAGTGCCCCCCTGTTGTCACTCGCCACCTCCAAGCACACCATTGATTGATATGCAAACCTGTTGGCAAAATTCACTGTTTTGATTGCTGCCATTCAAGTGTAAGTCTAAAGTGACTGTCTAAAAATGACATAACAAGTGGCAATCATCGGGGTCCAAGCAAAACCTGCCTCATTGAGTCAATATTGGCCTGTTGGCAGATAGAACACAAATGATGAGTTTTCATAGTGCCCTCTATTTTATAATAATTGTTCAAGAAAAGGCAAAATAGCTGTAAAACAGTAACATTTTTAACATGACCACATGATTGTTGTAGAGCTCAATGAACTAAATCATTCTATAACAGTTTCTTTCCCTATATTATATTTTCCACCAGGATGCTTCATTTTCATGTTAAAATCACTAAAAGTCACTGAAACCATTGTTTACTCTACTTGTCACCTTTTTTACTGTTCATGAGTTGGCATGTCTTCATTTTGTAGATCAGATATTTAACCATATCTGCTATGTAAAAAACTGAGTAGCACATAGGATGAGCTGTAACAAGTGTATTTAGGGATATTATTAGATAATTATGGAGCTTTTTGGAATTTTAAGGCATTTATTTGGACCCTAAACAGAAACTATGGCCCTCTTATGACCCCACCTAACAAAAAATCCTAGTATCACCACTGTTTAGGCTAAACCCTAACTTCAATGCTTTTGTAAAACAATGTCTCAGGTATCAGGCAGTATATTCATAACCATTTTTTGTAATAAAACTCTATCAAGCCACCTCACAGAAGGTTATCTTGGGATGCCCGGATCCTATCACCGGTTCCAAAATCACTTTATAAGTCTCTCTAGGATGGTACATTTCACATCATACCACACTGAAAGTCTCTGTTTACTTCTTATCTATGGAATTATGCAGAAACTTTGTTGATGTTATGATGTTTTGTTAATTTTCTAAGTGAAAATAAGTTAACACACCCTCTACAGAGAACACACTGCTGCACATTTTAATACACAATTACCGTTTATTTGAGTTTAACATACAATGAAAAACATAAAAACTCACATTTTATATTTTATGTTTTCCTTTTTTCCAATTGTGCACTAAAATGTGCAGAAAATTCAATTAAATTTGTTCCCTGAAGAAGATGTGGTAACTCATTTTCACTTAGAAAATCAAGAAAAAAAATTCAAAACTTTTGCTTATATGTATTACAATTTATCATTGACTGTTGAAGGTGTGGAAGCCTCTTAGGTACGATAAAGTCTTCTCTGAATGCATTACATTTATTCCTTATTTCATCAAGAAAAAAACATCAGAACATGGATCAAAATAAAAAGTACATGTGTCGTGTTCAGTCAGTATGTCAGCAAAATAATGTTAAGGTTTTTGATGGCGACGGTGTGAAAACATTCATTATGTGGTGCAAAATTTATGTGTAAATGTAGACTATTTACAGTGTAACTACTTCACCGCAGCATGCACTATCCTTTCACACAACATCTTCATTAGCAGCAAAGTTGCTCACCGATTGAAACTATTTTATCTTGCATGCTTTTTTGCAATGTGTAAACACTTTGAGGTCAATGGCAAGCTAAACAACTCTGAACCTGCTACCGCCTTCCCAGTGCGATTGCCCAATCTTCCGTGCCATGTCCAAGGGGATTTTGTTATTTTAAAAGTGCTGCACCTAATCCATTTTACTGGTAAAATTGTGCTAATTACATTTGGCAGACGTACACATCTCCTGTTTTTGAGAAACAGAAGATAATGCTGAAAGCCGGTGGTCCAAGAAGGCTGGAAGTAAGTTCATGCTGGCAGTGAAGACAAGCAGCATTCGACTCACGCTTTTTATACAAACCTGATATGGCTGGCGTCAGCGTTAAGTACTAGATTGGGCTATATCTGTGTTTTCACGTGTTGTCAGGTATAATAATGAGGTTGGTAGGCAAGCTCCTTGGCAAGGCCGCTGAGTGATTTGCATAGGCCTGAAGCCCTGCAGCAACATTGGGGGAATGGTTTAACTGTCATGGAAAAACACCTGGATTATATAAGGACAAAATCCCCTTGGAGTTCGGCTGGTTTTTTGGCCGCCTTCCTCTGCGCCAAACGAAGGCCGTGTCCAGCCGGGACTCAAAGAGGGCATGTCCCAGAGTGAGCAAACATGAATAAAAATGGTCCTTTGTCCACACCACTTCTTTAAACCTTCATAATAATGCAGTCAATCTGACACTGAACAAACATTTTTTCTTTGTGACTTCAACATGTCGTAATCCCTGGATTATCTGACGCAGGCCCATCCTCTTTCATATCTTTAAATGCTTTTTTGCTTTACTTTCATTGATGGTACAAGAGCAGGCAATCTGATAAGACATTAAAACAAGTAGGGACTTGCAGTAGTAGAACAGGAGAGGAAAGGGCTGGAAGGCATAACGAAAACTCTGTGTGTGTGTGTGTGAATGGTGAGTGTGTTTGCATGTGAGGGTAAATGTATATTTATGTATATGTATAATACTGTGCAAAAGTCAGAGACCACCACTCGTTTATTTCATTTCCAGTCAAACCGGCCATTAAGTGTGACGTTAAATTCAGTAAATAAACAGGAATTGTCCAGTAAATTCTGCAGAAGTGTGTTGAGTGTAGAGGATGTGTTCACTTGTTTTTACCTAGAAAAATATGATGTTAAATTCAGTACTTAAACAGTAATTGTCCACTAAACTCTGCAGAAGTATGTTCAGTGTAGAGGATGTGTTTGCTTGTTTTCACCTAGAAAATCAACAGAACACTTAATTTGATTAGAGGTGTCCAAACCAGTGTATTTAACAGATAATTGCACAGAAGCCTTGCAGGGATATTTTTCCACACCTCCAAAGTTCAGTCTTAGAAGTTGTTTGTATTTTCTGCTTCTCATAATCCAAGTAATGCCAGACACATTCAGTGATGTTGAGGCCTGGACTCTGGGGTGGTCAGTCCATTATTATGAGAACTTCTTTAACTGATCTGCATATGCTCTTCTTTTTTGTCTGTTTCCTTTTCTCAGTAAGGGCTTCTTAGCAGCTACACATCCTTTCAGACTCATAGTGTTGAGTTGTCTTTCTCACAGTGGAAGGATGGACAGAAACACCCGTGGATTTTTTCAGATCTGAAGTAAGAGTGGAGCTTAATTTTCTCCTGTCTCTCAAAGATGAAAGCACTGTTTATGTGATGGTGACCAGTACTAGTCACTTGCAGGTGGACAAAGGGGCAAAAACTGTTGTAGTGCTTGTATTAATATTGTTCTGCATTTGAACACATTAAATATTTCTTTTTTATTGTAAAGTCAGGTATTTTTTCACTGACTGATTTTACTGATTTATGACAAAGTGCCATCAGCGGCCCACCAGCCCACTGGCTCACCTCAGTGTTGGCCTGAAGACCACCAAAGGGTGCTTCTCACCTGGTTTCTCACCAGGTCTTGCATGGTTGTTAGGAGTCCCATTTTCTCTGTATCTTCTAGTAATTTTTTACCGCTAGTTTTGGAAACTCCTGTTTTTTTCCACTTATTTCTTTTGACTTCTTCATGCAAGTGGATTATGTTCTATCTAATCTCCTCAGTCGTATCTCCTAAAAATGAATAACTTGTGCAATACCGTACATGTGTGTGGGGTTGTCTTCTCACCGCAGTTGGGGGCACTGCTTTGGCTGTATTTCCTCTCTTCCTGCGCAGTAGTTCTTTGACAGGGTCTTTGACTCTGACACCCTGGTATGGTTTAGATGCCGCCTGCTCAGACAGTGCTGTGGACAAACACACAGAAAAGAGGAAAAGAAGCATGACTGTGCAGGCTTACAGCAAAATCAAACAAACGTCAGAGCCGAGGGTATTTCAGCAGATATTTTAGCTCCACAAGAGTCAACAGCAGTCAATTCACCACTATTCATCCTGTGTTTGAACATGGTCTGCAATACCCTGTATGTTATTGCTATTATTATTGCTTGCTTATTACTCAGTTCTTAATCTTAAGGCTTATTCACCCTAACATGACTTCATGTGAGGCTTGATCAGAGTAAAAATGCCTAAAGGGGATTCCCTTTACAGTGGTGGTGATAGAAACCAATGGTTGACATGTCTACAAATAAAGCCATTTTATTTACAGTGCAAAACAACCACTGTACCTAAACATGTCTTCTGGGTTTTTATATATAATGTTGATCATGGCAAAAGTGTGCAAAAATTTGAAAACACACATTTTCTTTAGGAACTATTTTGCCTTATAACACCATGCATGTACAGTACTGTACAAAAGTCAGAGACCACCCTTCATTTATTTAATTGCCAGTCAAAACAACTGTTAAGTGCAAGTCGTTCCTTTTTTCAGGAGATATTTCTGAGGAGATTAGGAAGGAGAAAGTCAAAGGAAAAATAAGTAAAATAAACAGAGGTTTCAGAAAAGCGATTAAAAGCTAGAGAAAAGGCAACTCCTAACACCCGTGCAAGACCTGCTAGACCACCAAAACTGTCACCATCAGATAAACAGTAATTAAGGCTTTCATCTTTGACGGTGCATTTACACTGCTCCCGCGTGTCGACGGGCATAAACGCATCCTCCCCCTTCAGTTGGCTGCCTTTGGGTGTTATGCAGGAGATCCCTGCGAAATACGATTGAAATGTGGTCTTGCTAAGTCAATATTTATGTGCAGTGCTGTGAAAAAGTATTTGCCCCATGCCAAGTTCTTCTGTTTCTGCACTTGAACATTTCAGATCATCAAAGTATTAGACAAAGATAACCCAGGTAAACATAGAATGCTGTTTTTAAATGATGATGTAATTTATTTAAGAAAAAAAGCTGTTCAGCCCTACCTGGCCCTATGTGAAAAAGTAATTGCCCCCTTAGCTGCTAAATCAAACAGTTGACCAAATTCAGTTTACTATTGGGTTCAATATTACTAGCCACACCCAGGACCTGGATTATTTGTCATAATTGATGGAACCATGAATTCTACTCTCCATCAGAAAATCTTGAAGGACAATGTCCATCTGTCAGTTTGTGACCTCAAGCTCAAGCACAGTTGGGTTGTGCAGCGAGACAATGATCTGAAGCACACAAGCAAGTCCACTTCTGAATGACACAAAATTAAGGCTTTGTTTAAAGTCCTGACTTGAATCCAATTTGAGACACTGTGGCAAGACCTTAAATGGGCAGTTACTCGAAAATACTCCAATGTAGCCTAATTACAAATTACTGCAGACTTTTGATTGCAATTGTCACTGGCAAGGGTGGCACCACCAGTTATTAGGCTTGGGGGGGGGCAATTACTTTTTCCCACAGGTGATGTAGGTTTTGAATAAATCTTAATCTTCAATAAATGGAATGATCATCTAAAAGCTGCATTTTGTGTTTACTCGTGTTGTCTTTATCTTCTATTAACATTAGTTGGATGATTAGTTGGAGACATTTAAATGTGATAAATTAGCAAAAACATACTTTTTCACAGCACTGCAAATAATGCTTTTTTTAAAATAATCACAACATCAATGTAGTAAGCATCATCACACTGATATTTTCCAAAATGTTATTAAGGTTAAACTCAGGCAGATTAGGATTCAGATCGCTGATTTCCACTTGCAGTCAACATCAGTGTTTTAGTTTATTATCATCCAACTGATTGTTTTCGTGCTCAGATCAAAAATGTTATAGGTAAGCAGTTGTCTTTAAATATATTCGCTTTCGCTGCTAGTCTTCGGTGTCGCAGGGGAATGTTTGAAAAATGGAACCAATGCTTTATATATTTTATATAAGACACAAATTATACACATACCAGCTGCCTTCTAATTGGACAGACGCACCACTTTGGCTGGATTGCATAAAGTTCAGTGCAGCTCAACTTTTCGACACTGCATCCCCCAAATGTGACATGCCGGACCCATCTTCCCATTGAAAACAAAAGGGATGCGCTGTGGTGTGTCAATGCGCCAGAGCAGTGTAAGGCCAGAAACGTACTCAAAGCAAGTACACAAAAGACAAAGTTTGACCAACACATTGCAAACGCACGCCCCTTCTGTACAAACTCACCATGCTTTCCAAAATTACTGTGGCGGTTAAAACACTCAATACTCAAGAGGGGCAATAGAGGACAAATCAGAATAGGCTCTACTGTTACTTGCTGTAATGCTGTAATTCACATTTGCATTGAAAAAAACGTCATTTTGCACATCATAGCAGTACACAGCCGACAGTGGCATGAAATCACGCAAACGTTGCCATGGTGACAGCATTACCAGTGAAAATGGATGATTTTCAGAGTAGAGCTTTAACAATGTAGATTGTTTATTAAGGTGGAAAAAGGCAGGAGGACACTCTGTACTCTTTTATTGTTATTTTATAATACTGAGTTTGTCTGGAATTCAACAATGAGATGTTTGGCATCCATGGCTCACAGAAAAATCTGGCTTATTCCACCGCTGTGGTGGACGGCAGTAGTTGGGAAAACTGAAATCTTGACAGAGGGCTCTGCTTACCGCTGTGGCCTTTCTCCATTGAAAACAATAGAATATCTGGTTTGCCGTAATCCATCTACTACAAACATGTGAGTGCAGCATTACTCTCAGAATGCAGCTTGAGCTTGCATTGCATTATGAATTGCGTCGTCACACATTTAAGAATGCAATGATATGTGAAACCCTGTCTGCGTGGCTCTAAGGTTCTGTGTTTACGTACTTGTGAGGAGTATGTTTCAGGCCTTAGAATGCAATTATGTGCAAAAAGCTTTGTCGACATGGCTCAACACGCCTGTATTCGTGTACTTGCGTGAAGTATGTTTCTGGCCTAAATGCACCGTGAGTCATAGGAGAAAATAACATAACATAACAGAAAATCAAATAACAGTTTTGCTTCAAATATGAAGAAACGGCAGCTTTGGCTGGACTAAAATCAACATTTCACATCAAACCACTTTTTCTCAACAATTCAGGCCCTTTTCACACTTGGTATTAACAACTGTCTCGAGTGATCTGATCATAAGTGGACAGTAAGACATATGGCCATTTACACCTGCATGTGTCTTGAATCCTCAGCATTCTTGTGATTTGTGACTAGAGGAACGCACACGTTTACTATGTCAGTCTCTCACTGAATTTGTTATCAGACAAAAATATCTTGTGAGTTGTTGTTGGTTTAGAAGTACAGGCTGTTACAAATGTCGAGACTACAAGGACTGCTCATGCAACTTGTAAACAAACATGAGAGGACACAGAAAATCTCTGACCACCCCAAATAGTGGGACTCAGCATTCGTGTGGTGTGTCTCTGTGATGCACTGGACCCTGTTCATACCTGTACTTAGTGCTGTCCGCTTATGATGAGATCACCTGAAACTCATGTTAATGCCAAGTGTAAACAAGGCTTCATTTATGCAGAAAATAAAAAAGTAGTTTTAACCCCTTAAATGGCCAGGGCAGCTCAAGAACAGCTCAACCAGTTTACACTGAAGTTGTAGTTACTGAATAATAGACTTAGTATGTAATAAGCCTACAGTTTTTAGTTATTAAGTATTAGAAAGGTCCACATATGTCGCTTCTAAATTAGATCAAGAAACAACTGGATTCTGAAAGAAAGCTATCAGTTATAGAATAGGACTGTGAGCAGGCAATCGAGAACCAGTTCAAACACAGAGAACCAACACTTTATATCAGCAGCTTTGGCAGCAAACTGTAACTTTTTTAATGTGTGTGTTGTAGAATCATTGGAGGTCCAAGGGTCTGGAGTGCTTTTAACATGCTTCATTAATTATAATTGCCTTTATTGTAATAAAGACTTATCCTCCTGGGTCACAGGGGCTGCTGGAGCCTCTCCCAGCAGTCATTGGACGGAAGGCAGGAAACACCCTGGACTGGTCGCCAGTCCATCACAGGGCAGACAGACAGACATATACATTCACACACACATCCAATTGGCCTGACTACAGGTCTCTGGCCTGTAGGAGGAAACCCACACAGACACGGGGAGAACATGCAAACTCCACACAGAAAGGACCCTGGTTGCCCAGCCAGGGAATCAATCCCAGGTTCTTCTTGCTGTGAGGCAACAGCACTCTACCCACTGCACTACCTTTGAGCAAGTTCAGAGAGACATAGTTTTCTTTTTATAGTAATTTCTGGAAAACATTCAGTAACTAATATGAAACTAACATGCAGTTATGAGAGATTGGAAGAGAAGTCAGGACCCACTGATGGACCCTTAGGGATGGTTTCCCAGACCTAGATTAAGCTGTTGATGTTACAGTACAATTGTTTAAGGGAACAGCTCAGCGAAACATCTAATTAACATGATTGTGTGCTTGACCTAAATGCAGTCAATCAGCCAAGACATGTTTGGTGTCCAAAGTTTCCTTCTTTAATTCACAACTGGATCTGCTAAGCTATTTGCTTCAAATTATGTTGAAAAACTATATACCTTATTTACACATTTAAGCTAAAATTGGAACTATGTTATCATCTGCATAATGTCCTGCTTTTGGGTACAATTACACCATGAACACTCAAAGTGCCATAAAGAACCATTTTCAAAAAGGTTCCTCTCTTACGATACCAAGCTTGTAACAATAGAAGAACCCCTTTTGGTGCTGTATAGAACCCTAAAAGACAATTAAAACTTGTGAGATATTTAGAAGTTGCATATCAGATTGCTGTTTAATTTTTCTTCATCTTTATTTTGCTCACTGGTCAGCTGGGGGTCACTGGTGGTTTAGGCATTAAACTGATGCATTTCTTTATGTGTATATTCAGGTTCAGGCATACAC